TCACGGTTGATATAAAAGGTTACATTAGCCTGATGGAAGGTTTGTGTCCCTTCATCCTGTGTTGCTTGTTCTAGTCTCATCGGTTGTAATTATTTGCTATATTTTTACATTTCAAAATGTAAACAAATCAAATATAAAAAATACTCCCAACAAAATTTGAACCTAAGACACAATATTACACTTAACTATTTTAACCACTGTTTTTCTCTAACTTTGTCAAAATATATAAAAATTTAAATTAAGGATATTTTAAAAGTTCACCAACAATTTTACAATAATCTTACTTAAAATTAGCATAAATTCAAATGGCGGCCAAAAATATTCTTGAGTAATTCCTCCCTATTTTTAATAATATGATTAGTGACAATTTATTATAAAATACATAATTATATTTATTTGTGTCGAATCAATATTTATTAAATCACTATTTCTGTCATAAATCATCATTAGCATTTGTTTCCAAAAATATTTTTGCATTCCTTGAAAAAAAAATTATGGAATTAATTTTCTCTTACTAAAAAAACATCACTACAAAGGGTGGAATAAGAAAAAGAGACAAAGTCTCACGTAATTTCTTGGTTTTGTCAAAGTCCCCAACATAGCAACCTTATTATTATTATTGTCTAATAACAGATTTCCTACTCCTACTATTTTGGATCATCAAGACATTCCAACCTCTAACTTGGGAACATTTTTCAATATTTTCTTACCATCTTCTCTCCGCATCTCCCTCCACAAACCTCTCACTCAAATACACCCCAAACAAACACTTTCTGTGTCTCTCTATGCAGAGTCTCGCTTACATCAACATCATCGACAAGTTTTGATACATTTTAATTTGTCTCTGAATACAAACAAACTCTTATGGCACTGTTTAAGACACGAAACAGTAGGAGATCATCGTCACCGTCATATGTATCAACATTGGTAACATTAGGATTTATAGGATTATGTGTTTTTGGTGTATGGATGCTAAACTCCAACTCTAGGCTTTCATCTGAATCAGGAGAAGAAGAGAGTGCTGTCACCACCACCCGAACAGCCGTTGATACATCCGAAACCAGAAGCAATGATATCTCTACCTCTGGTGAAACCGCTGCCAAAAACACTGAAGAAACCGCTGCCAAAAACACTGAAGAAACGGTAGAAACCAGGACCGTCGTCCCCAAAATTGAAGAGCAAAAGGAGACTTCTACGGCTGTGTATGGAGATAATCCCGGTCATCTACCTGAGGATGCCATTAAATCTGACGATAAAAACATAAACAATGATCAAAATAAACAACAGAGTGCTGTTAGTGACTCTCAGATTTCGGAGGAAAGCTCGATAATGCAAAAAGATCAAGTGTCTGCAATACAGGAATCTAATTTAGAGAATGATGCGAAAGCTGAGAAAGTCCAACCAAGTATCATTGAAGCCTCTGAAGAAAACAAAAAGGAGGAAGAGAATACCAAGCCTCAAGATGTTACAGAATCTAATGACGCAAATGCAGCTGAAAGTCAAGAACAAAGCACGGGACAACAAAGTTTCGACACACAAGGGTCTAAAAACGACGAGGATGAAGCAAATAAACAACAGTTAAGAGAAGACAAAGGCGAGAATGAAGAGAAACAGAGCTCTCAAAGCTCTAAGGTGGAATCGGAGAAAAATAATGGAAAGCAAAGTGAAGGCGATGAAACAGTGAAGCAAAAAGCAAAGAAAGGAGGACACTCAAAGAAGACTTGGTCCACGCAAGTAGATCAATCCCAAAACGAAAAAAAGAGACAGAAAGGCGATGAATCAGGAGGAAGTGAAGAGAAACAGCAAGACTACAAGTGGAGTCTGTGCAATGTTACAGCAGGTGCTGATTATATCCCTTGTTTGGACAATGAAAAAGCCATTAAAATGTTACGTTCGACAAAACACTTTGAACATAGAGAAAGACATTGTCCTGAGGACGCACCTACTTGTCTGGTGCCACTTCCTGAAGGTTATAAAACACCCATCAGATGGCCCAACAGCAGAGATAAGGTAATTTTGATTGAAAGGCACATCTAATCAAGATATCGAGATTTTGTTAATGTTATCTTTAAAATTGAAAACATTGTTATTTTGTATGAAAATAGATATGGTACCACAATGTACCACATGTGATGCTGGCCGAGGTAAAGGGACATCAAAATTGGGTGAAGATGACAGGTGAATACTTGACATTCCCAGGAGGTGGCACCCAGTTCATTCATGGAGCTTTACACTACATTGATTTTCTCCAACAGGTAGTTGCAACTCATATGTTCTAAACTAACCGATTTGCTAGTACTTAATAAATAGGACTGATACATAGCTCCGAATATGTTATTACTTGATGAATGAAGAATGAATGAACAAAAGATTGCAAATGAGGGATTGTATATAGGATGAATAACTCCCAATTAACACAAATAAAATTAACTAAACTAAATTATCACTAACTAATGAATGATAGGAGAAAAAAGGTTATCAACATAATCTTTATCTAAAACTAGTCATAAATTCTAACTGTGCAGGCTGAAGCTGGTATTGCATGGGGAAAGCACACCAGGGTGATTTTGGATGTTGGCTGCGGGGTTGGAAGTTTTGGCGGTTTCCTATTTGAAAGAGATGTTATTGCAATGTCTTTAGCACCGAAAGACGAACATGAAGCACAAGTTCAATTTGCACTTGAGAGAGGCATTCCTGCCATATCTGCTGTCATGGGTTCTCAAAGGCTTCCATTCCCTAACGGTGTTTTTGATCTCATTCATTGTGCGCGATGTCGAGTACCTTGGCATGTAGAAGGTTGGTTTCACTAATGCTTATCTTGAGCTTAGATTTTTCATTTGGTCAAGTATGGTTAATGATGAATATGAAACTTTGTTTTTAGGTGGCAAGCTGCTTTTGGAATTGAATCGAGTATTGCGGCCAGGTGGCTATTTTGCTTGGTCTGCTACTCCTGTATACCAAAAGCTTGAAGAAGATGTTCAGATATGGAACGGTAGGATTACATATCATATCCTATCTCTATATGTCATTCAGAAGATAATAACTAAGCAATTTTTATGTGTTTTCTTCTAGAAATGACTTCACTAACTAAGGCCATGTGTTGGGAGCTTGTGACTATCAACAAGGATGTACTGAACCATGTTGGTGCCGCCATTTACCGCAAACCCACATCCAACGAATGTTACGAGCAAAGAGAGAAAAACGAACCTCCGCTATGCAAGGATGATGATGATCCAAATGCTGCCTGGTAAATCTCTACTATTACTACATTAACAAAAATATAGTTGATTTGATCGGTAATATATAGAACAGTACTAACAAAATATATTATTATGTTACAGGTATGTACCTCTGCAGGCATGCATGCATAAGGTGCCCACAAACAAGGCTGAGAGAGGAGCCAAATGGCCTGAAGTTTGGCCTCAACGGTTACAAAAAGCCCCGTATTGGTTAAACAACTCACAGGTGGGGATCTATGGAAAACCAGCTTCTAAAGATTTTGTAGAAGACAGTGAACGTTGGAAGAACGTGAGGGACGAGTTGACCAACATTGGTGTAACTTGGGCTAAAGTGAGAAATGTCATGGACATGAGAGCTGTCTATGGAGGGTATTGATTCAACCTGGAGTAAAACTTCTAAACATGTTTAATTCGATATTATGTGAAAGTTAGTCTTAACTTATAGTAATGTGGGTGCAGATTTGCAGCAGCACTGAAGGAACTTCCACTTTGGGTGTTCAATATAGTGAACATAGATGCTCCTGACACACTACCAATAATCTATGAGAGGGGTCTTTTTGGGATATACCATGACTGGTGCGAATCATTCAGCACGTATCCACGATCTTATGATCTACTTCATGCAGATAAACTCTTCTCCAAGCTAAAAGAGAGGTATGGGTGGAAGGAAATACCTTTTCCACCACCATTATACAAAAATTCTGCACCATATTGATTCAGTTCTGTTGTTTTGGCTTTCCAGGTGCAAACTTGTTCCTGTTATTGCAGAGGTTGATAGAATAGTGAGACCGGAAGGAATGTTGGTCGTTCGTGATGAACCTAGCATCATCAGCGAAGTGGAGACTTTGTTAAAATCTCTACATTGGGAAATAATCTACTCCAAAGAACAAGGAAATTTGCTCTCTGCAAAGAAAGGAACTTGGCGGCCTGTTACCATAGCTTCTTCCTGATAATGATTCAACATCCTGCTTTAATTTAAGGTTTCTTTCTTCTCAGACAAATCTGAGAAGAGGCAGTAACATACATTCGGTTCTCAGTTGTCAGTTTTATTTTTTTCACTGCATATATATCTTAGTTTTCCGTTTTTTTGTCCCGAGATACAGAGATTTAGATCACATACAATAGAGATGGTGTCATAAGGGAACACCTACATGCAGATTTGGATTTTAGTCATCCAAATAACATCTCTTGTTATTCTGTTATATAACATATTAAGCACCAGTAAATTCCTAAATTATTAGATTGTTCAAAACAGAACTATTCTATTTGTTGTTGTAATACAAGACAATTTGATAATGGTTTCTTTGTAGGCCCACAGATTTTCCTTTTTGCTGTCATCAAGCCATAACTTGAGATTGATTCAATGAAACAACAATCAGAGAGAAATATTGCTGAACACGTCTTCAAGATTCGTAACAGAAACTGACATATTTTTTAAATATTTCCAAAATCAAGACTTCGAACATTGAAATTCGCAATTTTATAATTAATAATCACAATCAAGACTTAGAACGTTGAAATTCGCAATTTTATAATTAATAATCGCGTGAACAAAATCAATTCCAATAGTTAGAGCTCAAGCATTCATGATCATACCATCCTAGTAAATACTACATGTTTATCACCTAGTAAATACCAAAAAAAAACATGAAAAAGTATTCTTCCACTAGAAGCTTGAAACCTTTATTATCTATGAAAATGTGAGTTCTCCGTATACAGACAAACTATAGATGCTAGTGCTCCACTGTCTCCAGTATAGAATCAACTTGCTTTGAGAAGTTTCTGCAATTCACCACTCTGGACTGCAGCACTGAGATCTTTTTTGCAAAAACAACAAAACTTTGTAAGAACAGATTGAGTATAGTTAGTCCCTAAAGTATAGATAATATAAACCACAAACCTTCGTTTTAGTCCCTTAAGTATCATTTTCTCTTCTAGTTACTCTTACATGAAAATAATAATTAGTCTCTAAAGTATAGTATGAATTTTTCCCACTGATACCTGCTTTTAAGATGCTAAGGACTAACTAACATAACACATTTTCATATACTTTAAAGATTCCATGTACTTATTAAACTCATGTTTAGATACTCCGACAAAATTTCCATCCAGATCTCTCCATCACTTATATCTCTTAATTTTCCTCTGTCTTCAACCCTTACGCATGTTGGAGAGAATCCAATTCCAAATGCATAATTTTCATATAGTTTAAACACTAAGGCTTTGTTTGGATTGACATACGGAATGAAATAAAATTCCATGGGCTAAATTAGTTAAAATCGGATGGAATGGATCAGAATGATATCTATTCCATTCCATTTAATCACTTACCACAATTTCCTTACCCTCCGATTTAGGCCGAATAAGAAAATGACATGACTTCGTTCCATCTTAAAATATCCAAACAAAGAAACGGAACCTCTTGTCCACTCCATTCCGCTCGATTCGTTTTAAAATATTAAAACATAGGCTAGGTAATAAAGTTAAGAAGCAAAAAACTAACCATCTGATCCACCAATATGCTTGCCATAGACAAATACTTGTGGAACAGTCCTTCTACCAATCAAATCCAAAAGAACACCCTGAATTTCATACCCATCATCTACAAAACACATAAACAAAAATCAAGACCAACAATTAAACACAACAAAGAAATAGAATCCAATTGTAATTCATGAATACCTCTCAAATCCAGCTCAACCACAAAAGGTTTCTCATTTAGTTCAGCAAACAGACGTTTAGAGCGCAAACAGTACCTAGCAAAATAGCGAAAATGGAATAAAACCCTAATTGGGATTGAAACTAGATAATAATATATACGTACGGGCAATATGATTTGGAGAAGATGGTGATTCTGTTGGAATAGATTGCGTTTTGGACGAAAGCGGAAACTGAATTAGAGGCTTCGATGTGTACTGGTCCATTACCCTTCCCAAACAAAAATGGGGAAAGGGATAAGAACGTTAAAGTGACGATCATACTCCATCGGAAACTCTTCATTCTTCCTCTGTGTTGTTTCCTCGGATAGTAATAACTTATGGATGTTCCCAATTTGGAAGCTACAATTCGCACGCAGGGATTTCGTAGAACGCAACGTAGCCCGTATGTTTGTTATGTCTACCCGGTTTTTTTTTTTTTCCTATAAACTGTGTGAATAGAATAATGTGAATCTTGACAGAAAATCAATAATTTTGTTTTTACAAAGATTTTAGGTTGGGAGACAAACGGGCAATGTTTTTTCCATACATGTCCATCCCGAAAAAATCCGTTAAAAAATAGGATAGAGTGAGATAAGTATAGTTGAAGCCTTGAAGGAGTGACCTAAAAATAATAATATGCCCTACAATAAAATGTTGAAGGTGTGACCTAAAAATTATTAATATGCCCTGCAATAAAATGTGGATGGAACGGTTCCGTAGTCATTGAATTTTTTAAATTTAGAAATACATAAAATTATGTTACGTTAATATTTGTAAAAATCCTAAAAAGAATAGGACGTGATGGACACACTAATGGATAAAGTTTAAATCTTTGTCTCAGTGCGACAAAAAGGCCGGTCCTATTTTATCACCTCTAATTTGCAAGTGGTGTTTACGCCAGGATCATTTCCTGACATGGAAAAGTGAAAAAATATCGACATCACTCCATAGTGATCTGGTGAATATATTTTTATTTTAATTATAAAAAATTAGACTGTTGTGAATTAATGACATCAAGAACAAATCAAAATATAAAAAAAAGATTGAGTTTTTTTGAACAAATACAAGAAACTTGTTCTAGACTGGGTCTGGGGCTGAATGATAGATTTTACGCTAGTATAAAATCAAATAAAGAAATCTAGGAGACGATAAACATAAAACAACTTTTCTAATTTTTTTCATATCCTCATAAGAGGCAACATAACAATATAAATACTAGGGTTCTGGTCACATATTGGATCAGTCTAATAATTATGTTAAGCCCATAAAGATAAAAAAAACGTTAAAGACACCCTACTTAATAAAAGTCTTTAAACCAAAGAGGTTTTTTTCTTTCTCTAACAGGCTTATTGGGCCTGGAACATTCTGGCCTATCAATACTCCCTGATTCAATGGGAACCTTGTCCTCAAGGTTCAAAAGCGGGTTGGGCCTTGTAACTTGAGTGGCCCAAGTGGAAGTGCCAGCCATAGTACTATTGCCTTGGGACATTGGACAGAAAATTTGACTTTTCGTTGGAGTTGCTGTACAGCTGGCTGGGACAAGAGTTGGTGGAGTACAGCTGTTTTGGGGAGACGGTGAGGCGTGACAGGTGTTAATGTGATAAGGTTGAGAATACCGAGAGTCTTTAAGGCTACATGGGGAAGTGAAGCTTGCAGTCAGTTGTGGGTGTGGTGTTTTCGAAAGGTTGCTTGCACGTGCAGGAGAGAGAGAGGGTACAAATGTCCGTTGAGACTGAGATTGAGTGGTGGTTATAAAAGGGAGCTTAACCCTAGACTGTGGTTTTTCTGTGGTTTCCAAAGTACCACCGCTATGTGGAGATAACACCCTCCCAGCCTTCTCTTTGGCAAACAGCTCCGGTTTTTGACTTGCATGTCTATTGGAAGGTATCTGTGAATGTAAAACGATCTTGTGTGGATCGTCTTCTTCTTTTCTTTTATTTTCTTCGCCTTCTGAGAGTTGTTTACTAACAACAGTTGCATTGTGTACCCGTTTGTCTTGCAGGAATACATCAGAGATGTGGAAAGGAAGGTTCTGTTCGTGGTGGTGGTTTGCGTTGCCGTAGAAAGGACGGAGGAGGGACACATGCACGATCGGATGGATTTTGGAAGATGAAGGTAGATCTAGTTCGTAGGCCACCTCTCCTACGCGTCTGATGATCTTGAAAGGACCGTGAAAATACTTTGAAAGTTTTTGGGAGGTCCGTTTCATGACTGTTTGTTGACGATAAGGTCGCAAGTGAAGGAGTACCAGGTCCCCTGTCTTAAAGGTAACATGCAGTCTTTTTTTGTTTGCCTGAGTTTCCATTTGTTTTCGGCTTTTCTGTAAGTTACGTTTGAGCTGACTCAAGATTTCTTGGCGACGTTGAAACGAGGAGTTCAGGGAGTCAATGTTGGTGGAGTCTTTGACGTAATCCGGGATCGATGGAGGAGGTCGTCCGTATAGAGCCTGAAACGGAGACATCTTGATGGCCGAGTGATACGTTGTGTTGAACCAGAGTTCAGCCAGATGCAAGTACTTGAACCAGTGCTTGGGATGGTCGCTAACGAAACAGCGTAAGTATTGTTCTAAACTTCTATTTACAACTTCTGATTGTCCATCTGTTTCGGGATGGTATGCTGTACTGAACTTTAATGTTGTTCCTTGAACTTTGAATAGCTGTTTCCAAAATGAACTTAAGAACAAGGGGTCCCTGTCTGAGACAATCGATTTGGGAATACCGTGGAGTCGGCAAATCTCAACAGAAAATCGTGTTGCTAAATCCTGTGCAGTGTATCGAGTTGGCAGAGCAATGAAGTGCACATACTTTGAGAGTCTATCGCAGATGACCCAAATCGTAGTATGACCGAAGGAGTTTGGGAGATGAGTGATGAAGTCCATGGTGAGTTCCTCCCACACCTGAGTTGGTATTGGTAATGGTTGCAACATTCCTTTCTTTTTTTGTGTTTGATATTTGTTCTGTTGGCAAACTATGCAGTTTTTGATGAATTCCCTGACCTCGGTGTGGAGTCCTGGCCAAGCAAAGGAAGCAGCGAGTCTAGCGACGGTTGGTTTGACACCTGAGTGACCCGACGTTGGTGTGTTATGAAACTCTTCAATGAGTGCCAACCTTAAATGATTAAAAGGTATATAAAGTTTTTCTCTGAAAAACAGTAGACCCTTTGAATATGTGTAATCATTTCCATCCATTGCTGTTGTATTTTTGACTAATTGTTGTCCTTCCAGATCTGTGGTATAATAATGGCGGAGATGGGTGACTAGGTCTGGAATGGGCGAAGAGAGAGCCATTAAAAGAGGGGTTTCTTGAACGGAAAACTTGCGGCTTAGAGCATCTGCGACCAGGTTCGAGCGACCAGGTTTGTAGAAAATTTCAAAATTGAACCCTTGAAGTTTTGAAGCCCATTTTTGTTGTTCTGGGGTTTGAATTCTTTGCAATAAGAGGTCCTTTAAACTCTTTTGATCTGTGTAAATCTGAAACTTCTGACCAAGTAAGTACTGACGCCATTTTTTTACTGATTCTGTTACAGCGTACATCTCGCGGACATAGACTGAGCTGGACTGCATACGAGGGCACATTTTCTTGCTGAAGAAGGCGAGGGGATGGCCATTCTGAGAGAGGACGGCACCAATTGCAACTCCGGAAGCATCTGTTTCTATTATAAATGTCTTTGAAAAGTCTGGCAAAGCCAGCACCGGCATGTCGGTCATTTTCTTTTTCAATTCTGTAAAGGCCAAAGCAGCCTCTGTACTCCATGAAAATTTAGTAGAACGCAGTAAATCGGTGAGAGGAGCGGCGAGAGTGGCGTAGTGGCGCACAAAGCGTCTATAGAAACCGGTGAGACCGAGGAAACCCCGCAGTGCCGTGAGAGAACGTGGCACCGGCCAATCCACGACCGCTTGAATTTTTTCTGGATCTGCAGCAACACATCCATCTGATATAACATGACCCAAATAATTCACCTTGTTAACTGCAAAAACACACTTTGAAAATTTTGCAACAAACGAATTGGACTTTAAAACATTAAAAATGATATCTAAATGGACTAAATGATCACTCAGGGATGAGCTAAAAATGAGTATATCATCAAAGAAAACCAAAACAAACCGTCGAAGATACGGTCTTAAGAGTTCATTCATAGCGGACTGAAATGTAGAGGGTGCATTAGTTAGCCCAAAGGGCATAACTAAGAACTCGTAATGACCGTCGAATGTGCGAAATGCTGTTTTATGAGTATCTTCTGATGAAACTCGTATTTGATGATATCCTGAGCGTAAGTCTATCTTGGTAAATATTGTAGCATGGCCCAACTCATCTAAGAGTTCATCAATAGTTGGAATAGGGAAGCGATCCTTGATTGTTACTGCGTTTAGGGCGCGATAATCAACACAAAATCGCCAGCTTCCATCCTTTTTCTTGACAAGGAGGACTGGAGAGGAAAAGGGACTGTTACTAGGGATAATAATGCCTTCCCTTAACATATCCTGAATGAGGGATGTCATTGCGTCTTTTTGGGAGTGTGGGTAGCGGTATGGTTTCACATTAATAGGTGGAGTAGATGGAAGTAGTGGAATACGGTGGTCATAAGGTCTTGAGGGTGGAAGGCTTAGGGTTCCATGGAAGACAGTTGGGTATTTCTCAATGAGGCTGGCAATGTTAGGATCGAGAGGGGGATTGTTTATTTGAGTAACATCAAGTGGTTCAATTGGTTTTGGTGGTTGAAGTTTGGAATTGGAAGGTATTGATTGGACTGATTGTATGAGTTTGTTGTCTGTTTCAGAAGGTATGAAAGTCATGAGGTGGAGAGAAGCAATGGAGTCTGTATGAATAAGGTGACGAAGTTGGTGGAAGGTTGTTAAGGAGGGTAAAGTTTTTGGGTCGCCTTTGAGGGTAATGAGTGTGTCCTGGTGAGTGAAGGTAATAGAGGGAATGGAAAAATCAGCATTAATGGGTCCTAGAGTGCGTAGCCATGCCATGCCTAAAACAACATCTGCTCCCTCAATAGGTAAAAGGTAAAATGGAAGTGAGAAAGGCTTGTTTTGTAAGGTGAGTTTGACATTAGGGCAAATCCCCTCACATTGGAGATGAGATCCATTTCCAACCATAACTGAAAATTGGGGAATGGGGGTAGTTTGGAGATTAAGGTGGTGAGCAATCCTTGGTTGGAGGATGTTATGAGTGCTTCCGGTATCAACTAGGACCATCACCGGCAGTCCGCCAATCAAGCCTTGAAACTTAAGTGTTTGGGGTGAAAATTGGCCTGTCAAGGCTTGGGGAGATAATTGAAAGTAGGTGTTACTTGAATCTGTTTCAGTAACTTCTTCTTGAGATTCCTCATCTCTTTTGGGAGGATCTGATAGTTCATCTTCAGCGAGAAGTAATAGGAATCTGTTTGAAGGGCATTTGTGACCAGGAATGAATTTTTCATCACAATTAAAGCAAAGTCCTTGGGCTCGGCGCTCCTGCAGTTGGGTATTAGATAAGCGCCGAATAGGCAATTTTGTAGGTTGGGTGTTGGGAGGTGGTTTTGCGTCAGTAGATGGTTTGCTGTAAGGTGGGACGCGGTTAAAGGGGTTTCCGAAAGGTTTGGGAAATTTGTGTTTGGAATCATGTAACTTAGATTCAATGAGTTTTGCTAGACCGATAGCTTGTGAAATAGATGATGGGTGATGAATCGCCATTTCATTCCGGATATCAGCTTTTAATCCGGAAATAAAACAATTTAGAATAGCCTCTTGTGGTAACCCCAGAACTTGGTTCCCTAATTTTTCAAAACGTGTTTGGTAATCAACAACAGATCCATCTTGTTTCAATTTAAATAACTCAGCCTGATGGTTGTCATAAGTAGATGGACCAAAGCGTAATTCCAAGGCCCTTATAAAAGAGAACCAATCTGATAAAAGGTGATTCTGATGCATCCATTTAAACCAAGATAAAGCATCTCCTTTCATATAGAAAGAAATCAAGGATAAACGATTTTCTGGGGGTAAATTGTAAAAACTAAAAAATTGATCCGCTTGAAATAACCATTCCAATGGATTAGAACCGTCAAACATAGCAAGTTCCAGTTTAGGTGTTCGAAAAGGGGGTAAGGGTGGGATGTTATGGATTTGGCTGTAAGGAATTTGGGGCAGATATGGAAAAGGATAGGGTTGGGAAGAAACCACCGGAATAGGAGATGAAAGGTATGGTTGTGTAGTCGGTGCTACAGTAGCACGTGGTTGAACATGAATAGTAGGCTGTAGTGGGGAGTGAGAGAACATAGGGGAAGGGGAGGGTCGTAATGGGGACTGGGCAGGAGTAAAGGTTTGGGTTAATGGTGTTGAAATCAAGGGTATAGGAGTGAAATTTTGGGATATACCTGAGGAGCTTGCTCCTGATGGAACAGTAGCAGGAACAGGGTCTGTTTGCTTAGTAAGTTTGTGAAGAGCATTCATGAGAGATTCATATCTGGAATCCTCAACAGTCTTGTCATTCTCCATTCTTGTATGAATCTGTCCCACTTGCTGGGCTAACAGCGCTAGATCTGCAGCATGCTTGTCGAACCGCTCGTCCATTTGTGCTTGGGTTTCATTCATCGCATTGTTGAGATGAAAGGTTGAGAGTTGTACAGCTTCCTCTATAAGTTCCTTTGAGGAAGGATTGGAGGGTTTGGGGGGAGCCATGGAAGGATTGAAGTTCAAGAATGAAAGCACCAATGATAGATTTTACGCTAGTATAAAATCAAATAAAGAAATCTAGGAGACGATAAACATAAAACAACTTTTCTAATTTTTTTCATATCCTCATAAGAGGCAACATAACAATATAAATACTAGGGTTCTGGTCACATATTGGATCAGTCTAATAATTATGTTAAGCCCATAAAGATAAAAAAAACGTTAAAGACACCCTACTTAATAAAAGTCTTTAAACCAAAGAGGTTTTTTTCTTTCTCTAACAGGCTTATTGGGCCTGGAACATTCTGGCCTATCACTGAACCCCCAGTTGGAAGCACATTCTCCACGTGCTCCTCGTCCGAGCACATTCTACTAATATAAATACCCATTTTAATTAATATAAAAACACAACAATTTTATTTTAAAAAACATAAATAAAATATTCCACTTTCTTCAATCTTTTCTATTAGCTTGATATTTAGAATTAAATGAATAACTTATATCATTATATTATTAGTTGATATTGATAAAGAGATATTTAAAATTGATTTTTGTAACAGTTTTGATGTTATTGACTTATTTTTCCTATTTATTTTCATTTATCAGAAGCACACTCACCGACAAATAAAGCAACTAAAGAAGTATCCTAGACTTTTCCTAATAGAAAAAGTCAAGTACGAAGAAACAGACACTAACCAAAAAAGAAACTCAATTCAAAGATTTTTGTGCTAAGCACCATAACCAAACCCAGTCTCACAGATCAAACCTAACATGGCCGAGGTAGCAGTCTCAACAGTTGTAACAAAACTAACCGAACTGTTACTCGAACAAGCAACTTCATCACTTTCAACACTCACCACAGCAAGACACCAAGTCGAGAAGCTCAAAAACGAGTTATCATGGATGCAATGTTTCCTTAAAGACGCCGACGCTAAACAACAATCCAACGAACGTGTTCGCATCTGGGTTTCCGAAATCCGGAACGTTGCTTTTGAAGCCGAAGAAATCGTCGAAACCCACGTCTACAACTCCACAATCCAAACCAATTTCCACAACAAAATCTTCACGCCTTTTCATCTCTACAAACTCGGCACAAGAATCGATAGAATCCTTCGCAAAATCAAAGATATTTCAGATAGACGTGATACTTACGGTGTAGTTATCAAAAGCCTTAACCCTAACCCTAACAGCAACGACGGTGACGGTGATAGCGAGAGATTGAGGCATTGGAGACAACCGTCGCCTTATTCGGAAGAAGAGTATGTTGTTGAGGTAAAAGAGGATTTTGATTCGATTCTTACACAGTTGATTACATTGGAAGCAACTCGACATGTTGTTTCTATTGTTGGTATGGGTGGTTTGGGGAAGACTACATTGGCTAAAAAACTGTATAATGATAGTAGAATAGCGAATCATTTTGAATGTAAAGCTTGGGTTTATGTTTCTGAAGAGTATAGGGATAAGAGGAAGGATGTTTTGCAAAGGATTCTTAGAGGTGTTGTTGATCCTCTGGCGGGAGATGATGAGATTGAGAAGTTACCTGAACAAGAGTTGGTGAATAAGCTTCATAATGTGTTGGCGGAGAAAAGGTATTTGATTGTTCTTGATGATGTTTGGGGTATGGAAGTTTGGGATGGTCTTAGATATGCTTTTCCGAAAAGGAAACTAGGGAGTAAGATATTGTTGACAACTAGGAACTGGGAGGTTGCTTTACATGCTGATGCACACGGTCATCCGCATCAGTTAAGGCCGTTGAATCAAGAAGAGAGTTTCGCGTTGCTTCGTAGTAAAGCTTTTCCTGGAGCGAGTGCGATACCGTCTGAGTTTGAGAATCTTGCTAAGGAAATTGTGGTGAAGTGTGAAGGTTTGCCGCTTGCTGTTGTTGTGGTTGGTGGTTTGTTGTCTAGGAAGTTGAAGTCCAGTGGGGAGTGGGCTAGAGAGTTGCGGAATATTAGAGGGGGTTTGCTTGAAGATCAAGAGACGATAACAAGAATTTTGGCTTTGAGCTACAATGATTTGCCTTCGCCCTTGAAATCTTGTTTTCTCTATTTGGGTCTTTTCCCAAAGGGTGTGAAAATTCAGATGAAAAAATTGATCAGATTATGGATTGCTGAAGGTTTTTTACCACAAGAACGTGGAGAAACTGCAGAATATGTTGCTCAAACATACTTGAATGAGTTGATTGGCAGGTGTATGATCCAAGTGGGAACGGTGAGTTCGTTGGGAAGAGTTAAAACGATTCGCATCCATGATCTTCTTAGGGATCTTTCGGTCACCAAAGGAAAAGAGGAATATTTCGGTGATACGGCAGGCTCATCATCATCATCATCATCTCAGCTAACTAAATCCCGGCGGCATTCTATACATTCATGCCATGAGCAGTATGATTTCTTAAAAAACATTGCAGATTATTCGCGTTCTCTGTTGTTTTTCAATAGAGAATATAATGCAGATGTAGACAAGAAAGTATGGATTCATTTGAGTTTTATGCAAGAAAAGAAATTGAATGTCATCTACACCGAATTTAAGCTCCTCAGGGTGTTAGAATTAGACGGTGTTCGGTTAGTTAGCTTGCCAAGTACCATAGGGGACCTGATTCAGTTAAGGTATCTGGGATTGAGGAAGACTAATCTTGAAGGAAAACTTCCACTTTCCATTGGAAACTTGCTAAACCTACAAACACTTGATTTAAGGTATTGTTGTTTTCTTAAGAAAATACCAAATGTAATTTGGAAGTTGGTGAACTTGAGACATTTGCTGTTGGATACACCGTTTGATTCTCCAGATAGCGGGCATCTACGGCTGGATACATTAATCAATCTACAAAGCCTACCATACATTGAAGCTGGAAACTGGATAGCAGACGGTGGTTTAGCAAATATGACCAATCTTAGGCAGCTCGGGATAAATGGATTATCAGGACCAATGGTGAATTCTGTTCTTTCTTCCATACAAGGATTACACAATCTTCATTCGCTGTCACTATCACTTCAATCTGAGGAAGATGAATTTCCAATCTTTATGCAGCTGTCTCAGTGCACACAACTTCAAAAGCTGTCTTTGAATGGAAAGATCAAGAAGCTACCCGATCCACACGAGTTCCCGCCAAATATGTTGAAACTGACTTTACACAATTCCCACCTACAGAAGGAGTCCATTGCCAAACTTGAGAGATTGCCGAAACTTAAAATGCTTGTTTTGGGTAAAGGAGCATACAATTGGGCCGAATTGAGCTTTGGTGCCGAAGGGTTTTCGCAATTACATGTTTTGCGGCTCATTCTTTTGAAAGAATTGGAAGAATGGAAAGTTGAGGAAAAAGCAATGCCAATGCTTGAGTACATGGTTATTGATCGGTGTGAGAAGTTGAGAAAGATTCCAGAAGGACTGAAGGATATCACTTCTTTGAAGAAACTGAAGATTACAGGCATGCCGGTAGATTTTGAATATAGGCTTCGAACTATAGATTTGCTTGAGTTAAAAAATACTCCAGTAATCGAATCGACAACGGACATTTTAGCAATTGGTAAGTAAGCAAGTTCATCTTAATATGATATTTGACACGAGAAAGTGTGTTAAAAATACATTGTATGTTGTTGTTTTGTGGAGGCAGTAATTTAAGTAACTTACTTTCATTTTTGCATATCATACTGCAGATTGATTTCCAGCGCAGTGTTGGTAAGTGATAGGAGATTTCATCTGAGGAATGGAAGCAATTTCATGTTCTGGTCCTCCATTGTACAGCACGCAATCTTCATTTGATTTCGACAATGCAGTACGCACTCCAATGAATTGTCAAACGCCGATGAGTCTGTCGACAAAGCACCAACCGAATGCTTCTCTTAGTCTGTTTTTTGACACCCTTTTCTTCTTTTTTCCCACATTCATCTCACAAGAGTCCATTTAACACACAAAAGATTAGAACATAAGAATTAACAGAATTTGTGACAAATAGAGGCATAGTCATATCTCACGACATTGAGGAACTTCAAACCTTAACCTAGGCAACATGAGCTCAGCTCCACGGATTTCATTTCTATTGTTTGTTATTGTTGCATCCTATTATTATGTAAGCTGGGAGTGCTGTGTTTCAAACATCAATAGAGTTATGCTGTTAATTTTCAGTCTTTGTAAAGTGCTGTTAGTTTTCAACTTGTACGTGCATACACTTACAAAAAAAGAGCTTTCTTTAGTCCAACTTGAAGTGTTGATGGAGAAAAGGGTGAAAAAAAGAAAGAACGTTAATATATTTTGACTGTGTTCCCCACGAAAATTAGAAGCACCAACTTTGAATTGTTTTATCTATCAAATTTCCACCATAGATTGATGATTGTTTTATGGGTTAAAGTACAAAAATTGAAAAGATCAACTTTGAATTAGTTCTATCAATCAGGTCCCCACCCTAATTTGATGATTGTTGTAAGGTTTAAAGTAAAAAGGCGATTTTGACTAAGTTCTCCATAGAAATTGAAAATATCAACTTTGAATTTGTTCTATCTATCTTTCAGATGTTCATACTAAATTGATGATTGTTGTATGAGTTAAAGTAAAATGTGATTTTGTGCGAATTCTCTACAAAAATTAGATAGATCAAGTTTGGAACTAGCTCTATCTCTCAACAAAATTTAGAAAGACCAATTTTGATAGTAGTTCTAGTCTATCTCTCAAATCTAGGCATTGATGGGTCAAAGACGGTTTTATCTTACTCAAATTCAAATGCCAAAATATCCGAATGCAAAACCATTTCCATTCTCCGCTTCAGTTTTTGAAAGAATTAAAATCCAAACTCATCCCAAATGAGTTCGGTTGGATTCAGGTATATCCGCTGAGCCACCATCTAATATACAAACTCATCTCAAATGAGTTCGGTTGGATTCAGGTGTATCTGCTGATCTACCATCTAATTAGTAAAATCAATTTTTTAAAATAAATATATTTATTTTTTCAAAATCAAATTATATTACAAATAATAAAATAAAAAAATCTCAAAATTTAATTCATACATTTTAAATATTTTAAATAATAAATAAAAATCAAAATATCAAAACATTAACCACGTATTAAATATTTTAAATTATCAAAACTAAAATAACAATACATAATAGAATAAACTGGATGGATTCGAGAAATAATAAGGGAAGTAAAAATAACATTTCACATGATATCAATAGTAACAATCTTATTCAAGAAAATTATCAGGCCAACAAGCACAACTCTACCACATATCCAAAACAAAACGACGCAGACAAAAAATACACTATTACTCAAGTATCTGCAACGAGCTCTGCAATTAGCCAAGGGGTTCACAAAATTTAAGTATCCCATATTAATTTCTAGTCAAATTAAAGGAGGCTATCAGACAAAGGATACACTATTACTCAAGTATCTACGACGAGCTCTACAATTAGCCAACAAGTTCATGAAATTTAAGTATCACATATTCCCCGAAAAGAAAATGCCACAGCCGATCTGCTAGCCCGTCTAGCCAGCACTAAAGGCCTCGGCTTGGAAGCACCGATCACATAAACGGTGGAAGTCATGGAGTTAGAAAATGTATGGGGCATGATGACACCCATCATTCAATATCTGACTCAAGAAAAGCTGTCAGACAAGGAGACTGAATCTCGACGCATCAAAAGGATATCTTTTAGATACTTCATGGTAGTCGACCAACTCTATAAGATGGGAAAATCCTCTCGATATTGAGGTGTGTTGCCGAAGATGAAGTAAGACTTATAATGAAAGAGATACATGAAGAAGTGTATGGAAGTCATTTGGGGGAAGAGCATTATCTGAGAAAATACTCAGGGCTGGATACTATTGGCCGAGTATGCTACAAGATTGTGCGTGATTCATGAATCATTGTGACAAATGTCAAATGTATGCTCCCCTCTCCCGCCGAGTTGTTGCACTCAGTAACTTCCCCGTGGCCTTTTTACTAGTGGGGATATGATATTCTCGGACTTTTTCCTTTGGTAGTCAGGCAACTAAAATTTCTTATAGTTGTGGTGGATTATTTTATCAAATGGGTATAAGTTGAGACCATAGAAGAAAGAATTAGGAGAATTTATTGAGGAAATATCATATGTCACATTGGTATACATAATCAGTTTATTTCTGTTGAACACCTCCAGGCTAATGGCCAAGCAGAAGCAGTGAATATGATCATACTTCCAGGAATAAAAAAGAAGCTAGATGAAGCGAATGGGCTTTTGGAAAAATATATGCACGAAATTTTATGGTCCCACCATACTACCCCTTACTCTAACACTAAGGAGACCCCCTTTTGAATGGTGTATAAGGCTGATGCAATGATACCAGTAGAAGTCAACACTCCAACATGGCGTCGAATAAATTTTGGTAATGGTCTTAACAGGAAGGGGTTAAATAACTCGGACGACCTCATAGAAGAAATCAAAAGAATGACTCGTGTTTGAGAATGTGCAGCGAAGAAAAGAATGACTAGGAGGTTTAACACTAGAGTCCGTCTGAGGAGCTTTCAAAAGGGTGACTTGGTTATGAAGAAGGTTACATATACAAAAAAGAAAGGAAAGCTCGCCTCAAACTGGAAAGGACCTTACCGAATTCGACAGAAGCTAAATAATTGAGCTTATAAACTTGAGAGCTTTGAAGGAGTGAAAATACTAAGGGCTTGAAATATTTTCAACCTAAGGTTTTATTATAGTTAACGTTATGTAATGCTTTTATTAAATAAGAATTGATGGTAGCCCTCTTTTCCCTTGCAAGGGCAAGAGTTTTTAATGAGGAACCCTCAATTCATATTGTTATGTGTTATTCTTTCTAGTTTTTTTTACAATAAAACCAAGCTCGTCCTAGGAGTGATAAAAATGCTCGACGTCTTCGATGACCTAATCAAAAGTCCAAGCAAATAAGAACCTCTGGCCGAGTTATGTTAATAAAACCTCTGACCTAATCAAAAGTGAAGGTTCCATGGTCTTAGGATTGACAATAATTTTGCTAAAACATGATTCAATACAGGATGTTGTATGCGATGTTGTATAACATGCTGCTCAACTCACCTTGAGAGCAGATGTTCTAACAGATGTTGGAACATGGTCTACCAAAACATCTATTCTGAGTGTTTTAAATCTTGACATATTTGGTTTGTTTTAATTCTGTGATATTCCTTTTAGATATATCTCAGTAATTTACGCAGGTCAAGAAGATGCAATCAGGAACAAGATTTTGTATATCCAGTTGTACACAAAACGCTAAAATTAGATAGATGTTTTAGGAAACTTCGAAGATTTGTTTCTACTATTATGGAGAAGATTCCGCAGGTGGTTTAAAACTGACAAAATGGAAGAGTCCAAGTCCATTATGCATGAGGCTATAAAAGGAGACTTACTAAACCTGAAATATGTATGCAATAATTGTTGAAGAAACCGTGTGTACAAATAAGGTTTTAGGGTTTGAGTTTTCTTTTAGTGTGCTATTGTATTGTGTCACTCATGTACCTTTTGATAGATTGAGGTAGACTGTTTGTGAGCCATTCATTCATCCCCTAGATGCTTGAATTAGACTGATGTTATTGAGTTGTAAGTGTCTACTTTAAGATTTTAAGCAATAGTGTGTTATACTTGATTGAAGCTTTTAAGCAAGATCAGGTATTGTTTGTGAAGTGTGACTTATGCTGATGTGTTGCCATGTCTATCACTGCTATTGGTGTCTGGTAGGAAGTGAGAGGGGTCTTTCATACTTAGGAGAGTCTTAGGTAGAAATTGCACTGGGTAGGTATTAAATGAGAAGTCATAAACTGGGTTGTTTAGCTTTGAATTGATACTTCTAATAGTAGATTTCCTTCCTGGCTTGGTAGCCCCCAGACGTAGGTGTTGTTATACACTGAACTTGGTTAACAACTCTTTGTGTTTTGTTATTTTATGTACCTTTAACTTTGTGTACCTTAGTCTTTGTGCTTTAAATAGATATCAGTGTCTCGACATCTCTTAGGACATCTGATATCTGCATACCAGAATTTCAATTAGTATCAGAGCAGGCATCTTGCTCTATATCTGGGTGAGATCTAGGGAAGATACTTTCCGGTGCAATGGACAAGAAATGAGGTTTTGTGAACATGCCACTCATCCTTGATGGAACCAATTATGATTATTGGAAGGCACATATAGTGGCCTTTCTGAAGTATATGGATAACAAGGCTTGGAAGTCTGTGGTCAAGGGATGGGATCCGCCAGTGGATAAAGATAGGGATGGTAATATTACTGATGTGCTGAAGGCTGGGGAAGACTGGGATGATGAAGATGACAAGCTAGCTCAAGGAAACTCCAAAGCACTGAATGCCCTGTTTAATGGAGTGCACAAGAACATATTCAGGCTGGTAAATAATTATACTGTCGCTAAAGATGCTTGGGAGATTTTGAAGAGTTCCCATGAAGGAACTTCTAAGGTGAAGATGTCAAAACTACAACTTCTTACCACCAAGTTTGAGAACTTAAAAATGAAGGAGGGTGAGAGTATTCATGATTTTCACATGAATATTATTGAGATAGCCAATGCCTCAAGTACTCCGGGGGAGAAGATTTCAGAAGCTAAGTTGGTCAAAAAGATTCTCATATCTCTTCCAAAGAGATTTGACATGAAGGTGACTGCCATCAAAGAAGCCCAAGACATAAACAACATGAA